TCAATTTTGGGAGCAGGATTGGCAATTTCAGCACAGGGTTCCTGCAAGGGAACAACAACCCTTCCCCCCAGGAAAGAAAGCCTGGAACCTTTGTGTTACAGGTCAAGCTGGTGGGCCACTCTTTGCACTCCATGATCAGCAAGAGCTTTCTGTCCTGGCACCTTTTGTCTGGGAGGAATCTTTATCCGTGCTGAATTTCGGGAGTGGGACGGCCAATTTCAGTGCAGGGCTCCCACAAGTGAGTGATGGCCCTTTCCTCGAGGAGAGAAAACCTATAATCTTTGGGTTTCTGGTGCAGTTGGTGGGACACCTGGGCACTCTATAGGCAGCAAGAGTTTTTTGTGAGGGCACCTTTTGTCTGGGAGGAATCTTCATCCACATTCAATTTTGGGAGTTGGACTGGCAATTTCAACTCAGGGTTCCTGCAAGAGAACCACCTCCTTTTCCCCCAGGAAAGAAAGCTCTTACCCTCGATGTCTCATGTACGTGGTGGGCTACCCAGGGCACTCCATGGGTAGCAAGAGCTTTCTGTCCTGCCACCTTTTGTCTGGGAGGAATCTTTGCCCATATTCAATTTTGGGAGCAGGATTGGCAATTTCAGCACAGGGTTCCTGCAAAGGAACAACAACCCTTCCCCCCAGGAAAGAAAGCCTGGAACCTTTGTGTTACATGTCAAGCTGGTGGGCCACTCTTTGCACTCCATAATCAGCAAGAGGTTTCTGTCCTGGCAACTTTTATCTGGGAGGAATCTTCATCCATATTCATTTTTGGGAGCAGGATTGGCAATTTCAGCGCTGGGCTCCTGCAAACGAACAACAACCCTTTCCCCCAGGAAAGAAAGCCCTTACTGTCCATCTCTCACGTGCAGCTGGTCAGCCACTCTTGGCTCAGGGTGGCCCAACAAGTGCACCTGAAACCTAAAGTTTACAGCCTTCCTTTCCTGGGGGAAAAGGCTGCTGTTTCCTTGTAGAAACCTGTGCTGAAATTGCCAGTCCGACTTCCAAAAATGAATATGGACAAAGATTCCTCCCAGACAAAAGGTGCCAGGACAGAAAGCTCTTGCTGCCTATGTAGGGACAAGGGTGGCCCACAACTTATGCCTGAGAGACTAAAGGTTAGAGCTTTCTTTCCTGGGGGGGAGGGCTGTCATTCCCTTGCAGGAACCCTGTGCTGAAATTGCCAGCCTGACTCCCAAAATTGTATATGGACAAAGATAAAAGGTGCCCACCCAGAAAGCTCTTGCTGCCCATGGAGTGCCAAGAGTGTCCCACCACCTGCACCTGAGAGACCTGGGCTAAGGGCTTTCATTCCTGGAAGAAAGGTGCAATTTGGGAATTTTGGAGTTCCTAGGAATCTCTCATATCCTCCCTGAGGCAATGCATGTCTTTCCCTGCTATAAACAGTGGCAGGAGGGCTGTAAATCTGCTGATTTCCTGGAATGGGGAGTCATCCCTGTTGGTAAACAACGGAGTCACTGCCACTTGTGCCGGGGAGTTTGGTGTGGGTGTGTGGGGAGGGAGAGCACGCAGCCTTTGACATGGCTGGAATCAGGGGCAGTGGAACACAGGCAGGTGTCCTGTGTGGGTTTTCCCAAAGGTTTGCAGGTGCTTTGATCCCTGGAGAACATCACCCACACTTCAGCAGCACCAGGTCTGGCAGTGTTTGGGGCAGAGCGTTGCACAGTGGCTGTTTTCTTACCCCACTCATGTGCTGGGGGAAGCAGCTAAAACCAGGCTCAGGGGTGGAGGAAATGAGGATTTTCTTCGGGGGCTGGTGCTCAGCAGTCTCTTGGATCAGATGAACTGCACAACTGGGCTGAGAGGTTTCCACCAAAGCCATGTGTTGGCTGTGCTGTCCGTCCAAACCGTGGCTGGTGCAGGGAGTTTTGTCTCCCCTGAACACCCTGTTGTGGTTCAGGTTATCTCCTCAACACCCCTGTCATGGTTCACAGGCTCCCCTCAACACCCTGTCATGGTTCACATGCTCCCCTCAACACCCTTGTCATGGTTCACATGCTCCCCTCAACACCCCTCGTTGTGGTTCGGGTGCTCCCCAAATGCTCCTGTCATGGTTCAGGTTTTCTCCTCAATGCTCCTGTCATGGTTCAGGTGCTCCCCTCAACAGAGGGGAGATCTGAAACTATGGATGTTTTTGTGCCCAGGAGGTTGTTGTTGGCTCGTGGCTGGTGTTGGCTCCAGGGTAAACATGTTTTACATGTTGGTCCATGTAAAACACAGCAGCCTCCAACACCCACTCAGGTTGGCTGTGGCTTTGGGTAGCCAAGCCTTGAAGACCTCCAAGGGTGGTGATTCCCAACCCCTCTTAGACACCAGTCTGAGATTGTCCCACCCTCCTGCAGAGGAGAGTTTTTCCAATGTCCATCCTCAGGCTGTGTCCTGTTGGTCTTCTTCCAAAGAAATTTGGGTGATTTGACCCTTGCCACCTTCTGAGCCTGTTGTAATCCCCTGCTCCTCGCAGCTCCATGTGGGCAGTGCCTCTCCTTTCATTTTGTTCCATCTTCTGAAACAATTTCCTGCAAGGAGGTCAGTTATCCCCTCATGTGTACCCATGGATTTAGTTCTGCTTTTCCCTCCAGCATCTCTGACCGGAAGATACCAACCCTGGCATTGTGTGCTCCCTCCTCATGACCACATTTCCCTCATTCTCTCCAATACTGATGAGAAA